CCCCAAAACCCCAAAACCCCAAAACCCCAAAACCCCAAAACCCCGCAGTGAATGAATTCGACTATTGAAAGTAATTAAGTGAAAATATAATAACTTAAGGAACGTATTTGGGAAACGCTCTAGAAAATAACTCACTAATCTCTTGTTTATATCATTATTATCAATTTCTCATCTTTTTATGGACAATAATTATGCTCAAACTCTGGACCTCTTTAGTGTGTCTGGGGTGGCTTGAGTAGGTGTGGTTCCATTGTCTTTTGATGGAGTGAGAGTCAAACTCGCCGGTTATTTGCCTAAAGTATTTCTGGCGCTCAATGCGCTTTAGGGTCTGTTGATGGGATTATTCCTCTTCTTTTTATGGGTACAGCAGCCTCCGCAACACATGCAGGATGGTCTATTGAATTTCTTGGTATTGCCCATGATTAGTTTGTAATATCCTTTGTAGGTGGTTGGCTCGTATTTGATGAAAAGACATTCACTGTAATCAATAGGCACAAATATCTGTTTATCAATCAGGATCTGGAGGTTAGCAATGATCACATCTGCATCATCATCATCAATTCCTTGTCTTTCAACAATGATTTCTCTTATAAATTCCAAGCTAATCCATTTAGAGAGCAATGCTGAGATGACGAATTGTAAGTCCTTGATATCATCTCCAGTGAACCTTCTTTTCAGGAAAATATCGAAAAGTCTATAGACTGGGTTCGTTACAATGTTGGGCGAGGAGTTTTCAAGAGGACCAAGATCTCCGTGGAGTCTGCGATTTAATCCGTAGTAGATGAGTTATTTGTTGAACATATTCAACACGCGAGTTCCGCTCCACTTGTTGTGATCTCTGTTCACTGTTATGGTATTTTCTGCCCAATTCTAGTCGAATTTCTTTTTGAACCCGTGCAAGAATACTTCATTCTTATAAGTTTGACCGAAGTGGTTTTTGTAGAGACCTTGATAGAATCTGGAGTCGCGCAAATCAATGGGATCGCCGGTCTTTATTTCTTCCTGCTTGTTCAATAAAAGAAGTCCATTTGAGCAATTTTTCTTGTTAATCATTGTACTCTCAAGCATAACCAGTCCAAAAACATTTTCTGCTCGCATATCATATTTTCTCTTGAGAATGTCTTCACTCAATTCCAATCTTTCAAAAACAAATTTAGGATCATGTTTCAAAGCATCTAGACGGGGAACATTGTTTTTCAACTCCCAAAATACTCTAGTTAGGCAGTCTTTGTCTGATTTTTAGATAAGCTACTATGATCTCTTAAAAGCTTTTCTGATGCGTTCAAATCTAAATTCATCATCGTCAACTGACTAATCCAGAGGTCTCCTCTTTTTGTTTGATTAAGAGAGCACAATGCTTCTTGAGAATATATTTTTGTTTTCCATGAGTGGAATATCTATATCTAACTTATCTGGGCTTGCAAATGGATTATCATAGTTCACTTTTTGGAGTCGGTTCGTATCCGGCTTATAAGGGCTTTAAGCTCTGCTCTATGGTCTATATTCAACTATGTCAACCATTTTAGGGACTGGGTAACCGAAGGGGTCATACACTGTTATAATTCTGGAGGTTCTTATTCCTACTGACATTCTATCAAAGGGGGTTGAGATAATATCAAGCGAGATACTAAGTAAATGATTTTATTTTAAATTAAATTAAAATTTCCTAAATATTATATATATGCCTCACATGGGGTTTTGGGGTTTTGGGGTTTTGGGGTTTTGGGG